TGCTCGGCTACATTCTAATTACCAGCCTTGCTGCAGCACACGTGGGTTACACAGCTCGCTCCCCTTCCCATTTTATGGGAAATGACTTGCTTTGCACAATCCTAATGAAAATACTGCAGCAAGATAACTCTCTCCTTTTCATCTTGCATTTCCCATTCTATAGTGTAAGTTGCTTTTTCTGTGGGAGAGAGACAACAAAATATTCAGGTTTACATGCATTTTTAGAAACAGCAGATACATCCGTTAAGGCTCCCCAAAGTAGTTTAATCACTTTTGCAGCTTTCTTATGAGATACCTGATCTTGAAGTATTGATATATTTTTCCATGTCAGATGTCAGCTGCACCTGTGTTTCAAAGATACTACATTTTGCATTTCTTATTCTCCATCTATTAACTTCTCAAATAGGGTATTTTAAAGGAGATGCATTTCACTAACTTCTGATGAGCTATATCAGTTTTTTCTGAGCAATTTTTTTAACAGTAGGAACAATTCCTCTCTCCTATCCAATTAGTTTCCAGCACCGATCAGGTCAGAGATCATGTCGACTTTAATGGAGAACTTCACAGTCAGGAAACCTTAAGGACTAGAATGTGGCTTCATTCAGTGTGTCCATAGCACCACCCTTGGCCGTGGCTTTGACATTTTCCAATTACAGCACTAACCATAACTAAATTCCACAATGATTTCATACCGCCTTGCTGTTTCCGTAGCTTCCCTGTTGAGTAAAATCAAAATAATTTTGCCTGTTAACCAAGGCAAAGTACCAACATGGTGAAAGGCTACATTTATTCTTATTATTTCATTTGGGTTTGTTCCTAGGTACAGAACTGGAGATGGGCCTCATTAACCTGTGCAGGCAGAGACCACCTTTGGGTAGGAAAATATGTTCATATCTGCAAGGTGAAGAGGGGTAAGAAATCTCACCTTTGCAAGTCATCTAGAATTAACTCAGACTTCTAACAAGAACCTTTCTAGTTGAAAATGACACAACTAACACTCTCCTGGGGGACAGGGTAAAGAGACTGAGAAAGAAAGTACATGCAGGGAAAGTTCTAAAAAAGTAGGGAAAGCGCTCAGATTTTATCTGTTGATAAACAAGCTCCCTGTGACAGCAGTGAACACCAGCTCTCACCAGCCACTCAGAGATCTCTCTGAGACCAAGACGCTAGCTAAGTGCCTAGCACTAGGTAGCCAGGATTAACATTTTCAGTCTGCTAAGGCAGGGAATATGTCTAAAATCTGGAAGATGACAGCGAGAAAAGCACCTACTGCTTCAAAAGAGAAAAACCCACAAACTTTGTGTTCCCTGTAAATCTGGCTGCTACAGTAGCAGGTATCATATACACCTAGACTGTAGATACTCTTGCATAACATACCTGCTGCTTTCAATTTTTAAGGGAACATGAAGCAAACATAGTCTGGACCATCATACATCTTCCACAGCCCAACACATGTTACAAAAGGAACAACTGGAAAGCTGGGCTTCCCTCTCTTCTCCCCACCCTTTACAAAATTCTGTGCCAGCTGCTGTATATTGCAGGAAATTACAGAAACCTGTAGGCTGCTGATTTTGTTTGCTGCTGGCAGTGGAGGGGGCTGCTCACATACTCTTGGCACATTTCTACATCTAAATCTGAAATCACAGGTTAATTTCCTAAGAATTTAATGTTGTCTATCGCATTCATCATTTATTAGTAAGTAGGCTGAGATTCTTATCTCCAATATGTTTTTATTGGTTATTAATAGGTATCCCTGTTTTGCTTTGCTCAAAGAAGCTAAAAAATTGCTTACTCAGAAAAATCATCCAAGCAACTACTCCATTTTCTAAATATTTCCATGGTTTCAGAAAGGCTGTCAGAGAAAAATAAAAAGGAAATTAAAAAAAGAAAAAAAAACCCAACAAACTAATCAACCAAACAAACCAAAAACAAACAAGACAAACAAACAACAAAAAAAAAAACCCACCAAAAAAACAAAACCAAACAAAAACCAAAGGAAATCCAATAATCCACCTTTATACAGACAAAACAGAAACATGGTACAAAACGTTCACTTTCTCAGATGGGCTCATGCTACGTAATGTAACTCATGAGGCAAGAGTTCAGCTCCCAACAGCAGGGTCAACTCCAGAGTCCTGGCTTGGTACCAACTGTATAATTTGGGATTTTTGTTCTGTGTAATTTTTCTTCCAAAGTAACTTTAAAATCTAAACATGTACTCCTTCCCCCACCACTTAGGTACAGACAGCTACTGTGTCCATATAAAATAAATCAGAAATCAGCCCATTAGCTATGCTTTTAAGAATACTAAGCAGTACTCTATTTGTGGTCACAGTGGTACAGCTTTCCCCAAAAAGCTTCATCATGGGTAACCAGCAGTAAAATAAGGTCCTAAAGAACAAGAGAGATGAAAAATGAAGAAGAAAAAGCAAATGTCAATATAAGCAAAAACTGAGGAAAGGGAAAACAAACCATGCTAGGAATGAAGATAATGAAAATGGTCAGGTTAGCAGCCCAGTGAGACGCAGCTAAGTACTGTCCCCAGATGGGAACCTGGGCCTAAGGGCAAAGAAATGAGTTTGGGCTCCTGGAAGAGCAGTCACATTCTGGGTCAGGGTCTTTAGTTGTTGATTAGCACTTATGGTCAGCTGCAGTCAGAGAATACTGGGTTTAATAGTAGAGGTTATTTTAATTAAATTGTTATAAAATGATGGATGCCAAATAGTAAAGACGGGAGATTTTTTGGAGGCAGTGAATGGTAATCCTACATGAACAGAACCTGGGAAATTCATATTTCAGTACCAAATCTGTGACTGAGGCCATATGTGGGAAGAGCAGCTCACACTCCTTCATGACTGGACCAAGTGTCTATGCATTTAGATGCAGCACTTAAAAAGCGTTAGTAAACGTACTCCAGATGGCAAAGGGAATGAGTACAGTTGACTTTCAACACAAGAAATTGGATTTAAAGCCTCTTTTCCCTGTCACTGCTTATTTCTTTAACAGTCTGGGGTTAAAACGTATTCCTTGGCTGTTCAGCTAGGGATAATATTTGCCCTAACCTCGTCGGTGCAAGGAACACAAATGCACTCCTGAAGATTTGGAGGCACAGCAAATACAGCCATCAGCTGGATTTTAGGGACTGCAAAAGAACCTCAGGCTTATACTGTCTTCTCCTGTTTGCAGTTTCTGTTTCAACCTGTGGGGTGTGTTTGTTTGGTTTTAAAAGATTTTTTTCCCCTGCCTCTTTATCCAAATAAGGCTATTTTCTTTCTCCTACTTTCACACAACTGTTTTTCAGGGAAGAGGCAGATGAAAGAACTATTTCTTGTCAGAAAGACTTGTACCTGGGTGACACACAATTCCTTATTTGGTTAAAACACAGGTTAATGGTGTTAGCTTGCACTCTGCTTTATCAGTCACCTTTCTGAAGCCATTTCAAAGAGCACAATGGGATTCAGAGCTTCAGCATTTGTTGCTACAGGAATAAGGATGGATTTGGATGAGTTTCACAGAGAGCTGCAAACATGATTCACAGCTGCTGCTGGCTTAAAGATATATAATAAAATATTTAAACTTGAAGTTTTCAGTGAAGAGATTTTTTGAAAGCGGTAGATTATATTTAGGAACACTCACCATAAACATCATGTAAATGTGTCTCTACATTGCGGGTTTCTGCCACAGAGATCATTATCATCACTTAGTATGTAAAGCTCAGATCTTATGAGTTAAAAGTGTACTTCTAAGTGAAAATATAGGATAGAAAGCCCAACAGTGTTGTGATTTATACAACATGTATAGTACAAGCACTTTGGAAGTTGTGAGAAGGCTCCAGGGCTCCCTCTGATCTTCTGCTGGACAGTAATTTTGAGGTCTCTAGGATCACAGTTACCAAGAATGCCATTTGCCTGGGTTTTAATTGTAGTAAAAAGAACGTGCAGAGCCTGCAAAAGGAAGGTCTTTCAGGGTTTTTATAACAACTTTGCCTCCACCTAGAGAAGAGCATCCCTATAGGGATGCATTTATGCCAATTTGTATTTCTAGCCAAAATAACATATTATCAGTCTTCGGCCACATGTGCAAGCCATCTTTGTAACCAGCCACAGCTCACACAGACCCCCGCTCCCATTCTGGCACCCCAGAGCTACCAGCCAAGGCAGCCAGAACCCACACACCAGCTACTCGGACCACAAGGCTTTCCCACTTGATGCACTAGGGTATTACTGAGTTTTATAAAAAGGCTGTTAGCTGACATGTTCAAATCTTAACAGGGGAATAGGGCAATAATGTTAGAGGGATTTCCTGTTTTGCTTTTTAAAATACAAGTTTATCAGCCTATACTGCAACTAGAAATGAGAATGGGCAGTGCCAGAGTATCAACCCTAGCGAGACAGTGCGGAGGAAACCCCCACTCCAGACCTTGTTTAAACAAGCAAACAAATAAAACCCCCAATACTCTTTTATGCTAAATTTGATCAACCTCTGCATTTTTGTTATTATACCGTGTGTGCGTTGACTAGTTGTGGTAGGACAATGAATCCCTTCATGCTACAGCAGGAGACTGTGGAGAATTGCAGAGTGCCTGCGAGACTGTTTTTTCCAGAGTACTCTGGGTCTCAGTACGAGTGGAAGCCACAGCACTGCTAGTGCTGTAGGGAAAAACTGCTTCCAACTGGGAATGAAGGCATCAGCAAACCTAGACTGTGCAGAGCAAGAAGTGGGAAGATACGCACAGATGAAAGCTGTTGTGATTCAGCTTCAGATTTGGGGCCCTGGCTCTGGTGATGTTCTCTCCACCACCAATCCTCACTCTTGGTCTCCAATACTGGAATGTAAATACACTCTCCATGCCTCACCTCTCAGTTTTCAGAAGGCTACAGCCAGGAAAACTGCCCTCTTTGCCTCACCATGCAACTGTTCAGGTTCGGATGGAAGTCCCCAGTTTAAGTGACACATGCCGTGCAGCTCATCTCTGAACAACATGAACACCAAGAAGCCTGCAGTGTTAAAAAGGAACATTTTATTGCAAGAGATTACAGACCCGGCACTATGGCCAAATGTTTCCATTACATCAAAATTGCTACCCATGTGTCAGGCAACAGCACCTACAAAGCACGGTGGATTGAAATATCTGAAATCATAATGCAGTCAGCTTTTTTTGAGTAAGTACCACCCTAAGATTTTTTTTAAAAACAAAGTCAAAACTATATAAACCCTTTTTTTTTTTTTTTTTTTAAATGCGAAACTGGTGTTTAAGTATCCAGGCCATTAACTACTGTAATAAAAAAATGGAAGTCTTGTTAACCATAGTGCTCAACTCAACAGGCTTCGTTCACAGCCCTTACACTATTTAGTTAAAAGCAAGTACTTGTTACTCAGTTAATTTTTTCACATTTGTCCAGCCAGCATTTCTCTTCTGTAGGTTATCATGATCAGGTAGGATTTTAATGAATAACCCCTTTTTAAAGCACTAGTGACACGCAGAAAATCTAGAACCACAACTTGCCCAGAAAAAGCACTGGAGTCAAAATAGCTTTGCAGGAACAGATCTCCCCATCTCAGTTCCATGAGGCTGACCTTTGGAAACTTTGGATGGATGTACATCTCTGAGCCCCAGTTCATGACTTGTATCCCTCCTGTGATCCACTTACCTCAAAGACCTTGGTGATTTCCCTGAGTGTGGCTGAAAAGGTAGGACTTTGAACAGGCACATAGCTCAAACACAAGAAGTCTGGCCCAGGACATAAACCCCAACTGTTAGAATCCCCATCTTTAGCATGTCAGGTGCCTGCTCTCTCTCCCCAATGGCTAATGCTAGCTATTGTCTGGTTGGTGCTTTTTCTCCCATCAGGAAGAGTCTCAGCAGCTCATTTCCTGACACCCCTGGCTGGGTAAGGTGAGCCCTGAGAAGTAAAAGCTGCACTGCCTCGGCTTGTGGGAGCAGTCTACCTAATACAATTCACACAATCCATATGAAGCAGTGTATGGCAAACACGAGTAAATGCCCAGGGATCTTTGTGAGCCAACATTTGTTATCCACTTGCCTCCACCTCCCATTTTCCATGCATACAACTACACATGCACACTACCACTTGGCAGCAGCTACCACAGGCACTTTAAAATCGCCTTTCCAAGGTCCTGCAAAAATGTCTTTTCAAGGAATGCAAACAGAGTTTTAATTTTAAAAGATGATTTGGAAATATCATTGGGACTAGGAGATACAGGCAATCATCTTACAAAATGTAGGGGGTGGTCTTCTACAATTTCCCAGGCTTATCTAAGCATTCTGAAAATTCCTTCTTAATTTTCCAGAGGCTGTTACCTAAGAGACCTTTACCAGAAACTAGGGTAACTCCAGAAACACCCAAGATTGTGATAAGGAACCAAAATCAACCAAACAAAAATCATGTCACTGCAGCCTTTACCCCGAAGCAATCTAGCCAACATGAACAGACTAACACTCATGCTTATATGTGCAATTCTGGAAGTCCAGCACAGACTGCCATAGAGCCTCTTCAAGCCACACATCTCAAAACATGATTCATATAATAAAGTGACTGATTTAATTAACTCTGCTCTACCAGATTATTTAGAATCTCTATAACTCTGGAAAGGGGGATTTATATTTCCTTGTAGGTAGTGATAGATCTGTATTTCCAAACAGAAACCAAGCAAACTGGAGGACTAGAGGCTAAAGAAAGCTTAAGGGTACTAGTTTTTTTCTTTTTTTTAAGATTATTCAGTCCATATAAACCATATATGCAATTAATTTAATAATCAGAAGACTTCTAGAACTTCTGTATATGTTTCAAACTACACGGCCAAGGATCTGACAAGCAGGGCACACAGCTCCCATGTACCCACAAAAAAGCCCACCACCAAACTGCTGTTCCTCATCAAGAGAAACTAATTTTGGAAACTAATTGGGCCCAAAGCTTTCCGCTCTTCAGACACAACCTTGCATTTTAGTGTTACACAAAGCAGCTTACTACCGGGGTTCAATGAATTAAACAGAATTAACTAGCTTATTATTATGAACCTAATCGAGTTTTTTGCTACTGCAAATTTCCGCACAGTATGGCTTCACCTCACAAGCATTCTTAACAATACTAGATAAATATCATTTGTACTTACTTGAGTTTTTCATCTATTAAACAGCCACAAAATAGGGTGCTCTCACAAGCACCTTTTTTGGTGAGAAGGGTAAACAAGCACTCTATTAAAGCATTATAAACATTCAAGGTGATCTGATCACTTCCCTCTATTCTGTTTCAACAGGTTGCTGTAAATCTTCCATTTTCACAGCGTATCAAAAAAATCCCACAATCATCCACAAATTTAGAAATTTGTTATTCTGCACACATAATTTGTCTGCAATACACTTCAACATCCGAGTTACCTTTCCTAAAATCTCTAAAGTATTTTTTTTCCAGCCTTTAAATGTACTGATGTAGATTTTTCAGCTTAAAAAAAAAAGGAATAATTTTTGACAGTAAAGCTAAAGTTATCTGTAGCAACTTGTACAGCAAAACACACAATAGCTCTAATTTAATGATAGCCTTGACAGAGCTAGGATGGCCTTGTCTCAGGCCTCTGTCCTGCACAGCTGTGCATTTTTAGCCTATCTATTTTATCAGAATGTTAACAAGCCTCGTGCGTTAACTCTTAGCTGTGCACATACAGGAAGACAGACATTTATTCATATTTTCCACCAATCAAATGTAATGCGTCTGTGAACAAGTCAGTTTATTGCAAGTAAATGTACTTTCACTTAAGATCATGAGAAGATTCTAATCTCAAGCAAGACAAATCAATTTCACAAACTTAATTCACACAATGCAAATAAACGCTTCACATTATAGACATTTAGATTTTCTTTAAACCTTTTTATTTAGAGATTTTTCTGGTAAGGAGATATACCATAGGAAAGCAATTTCACTGGCAGTGAGGTATGTATATACTCTACCAAAATACTCCTCTTGTTTTAACTGCTTTTAACTTTATTTACATATAAAGAAAATATCAATGCATATCCTTGGCTTAACTACAGTATCTGTTACCCTATATGAGTAAAATGAAATGTTACTTGCATACAAAATTGATTTGTAGAGGAATCTGATTTGATTTAAACAAAAATCATGTTCTGAAGACAGGTTAAATGAACAAACACAATTCATCATGACCAAGACACCTGCACCATATTTCCATCCTCACAGCACATTTATTTCAGTAATTCTGTAAGTAGGTCCTTAGCATGAGCATAGTGTTACAGTTTTCATACATATAATCACATCCAAAACAAGCTCTAAAATTTAAGTTGTAAACATTCTCTTCATATGTAGAAACATTTCAATCTGTGTTTGAATTTTCTAAATTGATCAATCTTTTAAACAGAATTATAAATGAAAAATCTACTCTAACCGTGTAGTGAGCAATGCTTATTAGTACATTTCTACAGTGTTAAATAAAATAGTAGAGAGGCAAACTTCTGTAAGCAAGTCAGACAAAGTAAATCATCATAAAGAAACAAACTTGTTAACAAAAAGATGCTTTGTAATAAAGAAAGTTGGATTGAATCTACTATGATACAAAAACATAAGGGTAAATACCATCTTTGTTGACAAGTAGGAGGTAGCATGGATGCACCACTTTATTGTCAGTGAGAAATGCAACTGAAGTAAAGAATATTTCCTTACCATAAATTTCCAGTATTATGTACATATTTCTCTTAGAAATTTGTTTAAACAAGTTTCCCTCCACTTTTTAGTACAAAAAGCCTCATGTGATTTAAAAAAAACACTTACACACCTAGATAGAATAGTACTAATTGCCCTATTTGAATGAAACAGTCTCTTGAACTATGAAGTACATGATATTTAATGCCCTAAGTTGAGTAAATTGTATTAGCAGTTCTTGGTATTATACAAAACACTACATACATACAAACAAAATATAATAATATCTTATTTTACTATGTAACTCTTTTTGGAATAAACAGAGGCTTGATTTGGGTAACACTGAAGAGAACACGGTTTCTTTGTTTTATTAAAATCTGTCTTTTAAGTACCCATGTGCAACAATTTAAAAATGGCTGCCATACATGTAATGGTCTTGTATTGATAGTGAACACAGTAACTGACAAAAACATAATAAACCTTAAAAACACATCTTCCACCCTATATAAAATATAAAGACTACTTACTGTAACTGTTAAGTATTCAATTTATTTTGATGTTACTGTAATCCACTTCCTCTATTTTTCTGTCTTTAGCATTTATAAACATAATTTAGTGTAGCGATTTATTTTAAAAAATGACAAAGTATTTCAAATTTACATCCAATTAAAATTCAAAATGCTTCCTTGTTCTATGATGCTGCTTCTGCCATCAGTAAAGAAAATGAAGTTTCAGTAATCGAAGCAGGCTTTTTAAGTAGTGATGTGACTTCAACCATGCCAGCTCCAGTCCGTGGAAGATTTGCGTTGACAATGTGTCGCTGCAAGTGCTTTATCCAGTCTTCTTGAACAGACAAAGGTCCTCGAAAGACCAGACCACAAAACCTATGCGAATATTAAAATAATTCCATCAAGATATATCTAGCTCTACTGAAAAAATATAAAATAAAGACATTAAGTGGAAAGTCTTAATTTTCTGGAAGTTTGTTTCTGCATAGTTTAGCTGAAAAACTTAGTAATAGAGTTCATTTATATTAACTATGAGCACAAAACATCTGCAGTTTATACAATTCACATTCTTACATTTTTAACACTAGCAATAACAATCTGTTGTCCTTATGTAAGGTTTCTTTTGAAGGACAGAATATTACTCAGACATGACCAGTAAGATTTTAGCTAGAGAAACAGTTGGCAACCTAATACCTGAGTATGACTGATTCAAGTCCTCTTGCTCAAATTAATGAAAATAAGCAACTGCTTCCCCCCTTATTATTCAATTTAATCACAAACACATTTACAGATTACAATCTTAAATCTTCTTAAATTTAAAATTAGCAAACTCCTAAGAATGTGTTCTTTCAATTAAAATAACCGTGTGTACCTGCATCTGAGTATGTAAACTTCATCAGCACTATGAGGTAATGGCAGCATTTTTTTCTTGCTTCCAGATCTTGACCTTGACTTCTTTTGCTTACAGTCTAAAGCTAAGAAGAGAAAAATTTCCATATGTGAAAGTGATACTTCAATGACTGTTAACCAAGCAGAGATATTTAGTTAGCATCCCCTATAGCAGTAGTGAAAAGACATCTACCTTCTAGTTATTATACATTTAATCATAATGTAAATCCAAAACAATTACAGTGTGCTCTAAGAAATTTACTGGAAAAACACTTGAAGCTATTTTTTTTTTAGTTTAGCACAGTGCTTGCTCTTTAAAAGACTAGATAGTTGACATTCAGCATTAAACTGTTATTTTAGTATCAACAAGCACCTACTAACCTACTGCAGAATTATACAGAAGCAACACACCATTGGAAATTCCCTTTCATGCATAAAACGCTGTCAAAATCTTGCAACTTGTTTTGTAGTTCAAGTACCATCATAAGACCACCCACGTTCAACCAAGTTACAACTTCACAAAGTTGTAGCTTTCAGATAATACAATCAAGAATTTGGTTTGAATAGAACACCTGCCATTTGTTTTCAACATAAAGCAAAAGTTTGTCCTTTTATTGTAAGAATTTCAAATGAAGCTTCCCCCTCACTCTTGCCTGAATCCTAATGCATCTTACAAAAATTGAGTATTAATCTTCAGCAGTGGGAGCTGGTATTAGGACAATCAACAGGGATGGCAAGGCCACTTCTTAAATACTGTCTAAGCATTTGAAATTATGCATGAAAATAATGTGTGTGAACAGAAAACGCAGAGCAAATGGGTTTAGTTAGTATTGAGGTGTGTACCTCCCATAAAGAGATGTAACAGGAATCCGTAACAAAACCTGGAGATTCTAAGCAGCAAGCCAAAGTTGGGCGATGAGGGGATTAAACTGAGTCAATATTGTTATCATGAAAACAGCTTGGTAAAGCTCAAGGAAAAAAAAAGAAGTCTGGGACGGATTGAACTAAGAAGTGTATCTAGCTACACTCTATTCCAAAACACAAGACACTAACACTAAATCTCCACAGAAACCTGAGAGTAAAACGTGGTATTCTTGATACCAAAAAGACATAATGCTATGCTACTGAAGCATCTTAACAGTAAAATTTATATAATTGTTACACTTGTCTAAGTTTTGACTCCTGTAATATAAAACAGAAGAATAAACCTCTTAGTATTCTGAAGCACAAGACATCATCCGGTGAGATAAAACATGCTGATTTAAAGAACACACAGTCTTGATTGCATCCTTCTTTTTTCTTATGTCCTCCAAAGGAGCACCTCAAGTTTTAACCCTGTAGCCAAACTTTTAACTTGTACATACACCAGACATTTCCAAGTTCCATCCCCAGATTTAAAGATTCCTACAGTATCTCGAAAAATTAGAACGAGTTTTTGAGGTTTGAAGGTACCAGAGAACTAATCAAACAAGTAGAAAGCAGATACCAACCTAAAGAGACTTCTTTCAGACCCTGGGTCAAGCCATCATTAGGCAGATGAGGTTCAACAGCATTTTTTCTGATAGTAACAATGAAAGCAGTCTGGATATAAACGCAATAACCCAAGGTGGCGGGGGAGAGCGTGATAGAAAAGGCCAAGATAACTTTTGGAAAAGTGAATAGGCAAGGGGTTCTTAATGCTTTATGCTCTCAACAAAAGCATATTCTTCATATTATTAGGGAGAAGAGAATCTGTCTATCTTTCAGGTTGTAGGAACTACCAAGTAATATAAATATTTTACATACCGCAACATCAGTAACATCACCAGAAATGTAAGCAGCTAAAATACTGAAACCCAGACACGCATTCTCTGAAGACAATTATTTGCATGAGGGGCAACTTATCTGAAGCAGTTATTACAGCAAAAACTTTGCCACTGCTGATTTTGCAGAACATCATGGGAAGGAGGAAAACAGAAGTCAGCATTATCCAAATGCAAACAAATCCATGAGTTGCATCTGATGTCAGTTAGTTGATGTCAGTTGATGAGTTAAAAAAAAAAAAAAAAAGCAGTAGACAGCAGGCTCCATGTAAAGAAGCCTACATGCATTTGAAACAAAAAGAACTAGCTTATTTCCTTCATGTTGGCAAACTTAAGACATTCACTCACATCAATAAATTTGATTCTACTTGCATATATCCCAAGTGTTTCAGAGAGCGTTCACTTTCTTACTAGACCTGAATTGGTCTTCTGCAGAGTTCCTGAAACCTAATGGTTTTATGTGTGTAATCTTCTGAGAAAAAACCCCTCTGATCTACTGTGCAACCAAACAGACAGCAACACAAACAGAAACTGCCATAATGTACCACTAGAGGTAGCTTCTATTTCCTTGAAAGATTACTTTTCCAAGAACAATGAAAAAATAAGGAAAACAAAAGAATGGGCATCTTCTCCGAGCCACTTATGACAGAGGGTCTAGATAGCGAAATTACAAAACAGAGAACAGAAAATATCACCGTAAAAGACATCAAGAAAAAAACCTTCAGATCATTCAATACTTTCTCAGAGTAACCTTGCTAATATTGGAAGTAGATCTGCCCAAGCAAGAAGCTGTTACAAAAGAGAGAAAATACTAAGAGTATTAAACCTGTGTTCTGCAAAGGGTATTTTTTGTACCCTCTGTCTTTTGATCTAGTGAACATATTCCTTTACATTTTAGGGGTCACAGAACAGCACAAGTACATTTTGAAGTCAGTCCAATGAAACAGGAAGTGGAGAAAGAATAATGTCTGGGTAAAGCTGATTGTAAACCATAATTCCAACACCACTTATCAGAGAAGTATACCAGTAACCATCACATTAATTTCATTTTTGACTAACCAGAGGATAACAAGTTTAAATGCACACACTTAAGCACTCTGTGATATGATGCTTACACCTGCTTGCAAGCATCAAGTAAGTCGCACCATTGTCTCACCCATAAGAAAGCATAGCCATGTTCTGACCAAAACTCAGTTACTGTTCTTCCAATGCCTGTACTATAACAAAGCATAACCTCCTCAGAAAGTATGGTTTTAGCACCTTCAGGAAGAGACCAAGGATAATTTAGCTCTAATAAGCTGCATGGAAATTGCAGTATCTTGCCAGAGAACTACCGACCGTTAATGTCTACTTTGTGGCTATCACAACTCCCGAACTATCAACCTTCATTCTCCATAAAGACCCAATTGTTTTTGGAAGAAGCCTTCTTTCGTTTGGCCACCTGGTGTTTCCTAGTTGCTATTCCAAAAACTTTTTGCAAATAGCCATTTACATCACTTCATCAAACCTCTGATACAGCATGACAGAGAAACAAACCATTTAAAACAACACAATCAAACTTTGGAGAGATGGCCTTGAGGCACTCAAGCTCAGTTTCAGAGAACATTATTTAGAAAAATATATGCTAGGTAAAAAGACTGCATATAAATACCTTCTTTACCTTTGTGACCGCTTATCAAGAAAGACCACAAACAGATGGAGATAGACTAAAATGAGCATGCCTTAGACAACATGAATTAGAAAAGTCACAGAGGCCCTTCATGCCATGACATTTGGTCTGAGGTTCAAAATTAAAGTGAATTTATGCTAATTCACATGCTCCACTTCTTGATGTCCTCCAACATGGAACAATTCTCATTTCACAAGACTGAAGCTGGGTCTTTATTCAGACTTCATTACTTTTGTCATAGCGTATGTAAGCTAACACAAGTTGAATAATTGCATGCCAAAGTGCATCTAATTAACCCTTTAGAAACACTGACAATTAATAAGTATAAAAACCCAACTTGTATATTTATTCACTGATTTTTCCAAATTCAATCACTTGCTAGCTATCCTCATCATTACTGCACACTAAAATGCATTAAAAAAACCCAACCCTCCAGTAATTTGCTCCCTGAAGGATTTTACAGGATACTAAAAATTAGCTTATCATGCCAGTTGATCAGTTCTAACTATAACAGCACAGAATAAAGACATGCGAAGCCAGTGGATCTCAGATTTCTGTTGTACCTGCGTATGCTTCCACGGTAAACTTCCTAAGGCTACATTTTTGACAAAGCAATATTAGAAATTATTTGGAAGCATAGTGGCTGCTTGAATTGCTACCTCAGTCATACTGTTGGCTCAAAGGCCAGACTCCTTCCTCTGTATTTTATTGTTCTTTCCCAAACTTCTGACAAAGCAGTCACCGTCTACAGAAGCAAAGACCAGAGAAGAGAGCGGTGTTTCCCAGAAGATGACAGCCAGTAAGAAGAGACTGAGTATGTGAAGAATCAACAAAGAGAAGATGTAAAAAGCCAGGGTGCAAGAGAGTATCAAGAAACTTTGGAGGGGGTGGGGGGGAGTGGGACAGAGGGAAAGAGAGGCCTAGAGAGAAGGAAGGAAGCTGGATATACAACTGTTCCAAGAAGAGTGAGATGCATTTTGAAGATTTTGCGTAGGTCTGTCGAATGCTCTAATCAGAAGAAAGAAGCAAGTTTGCCACATGCTCTGATAAACACTAAAGTGTTGCTATTCATCAAAACTGGTACAAAGGGAAATTAGCATCTACTCAAGATGAGCAATTATATCATTACAAAATTGGATTGCATAACGGAAAAAAAAAAAGTTCCAACCAGGCATCTGAAGCCCATCATGCAAGTACTAATAAAAAAGCAAGTAACTATCCAAATGAACCCAGACAGGCATTTGCTATACAGTGGATCCATACTGTATAACCACAGGCACAAATTAAGTTTAATAAACACTAAGCCTTAACAGCCAACAGCCTAGGAATTTTCACTTCTAGGATGTTTTTCTTGAGTCCACCTTAAAATTTATCAGTATGCTTAACTATGTCTATTATACTGCTAAAACTATCAAGTTGCATTTGAAAAAAAAAAAAAAAAGGTAAGATTTAACTAAATGTGATCAAATTATTGATTCTGAAAATGCAGGGCATCTGCTAGAAAAGCAATATGATAATAGTAAATATCAAAAACATGCAGACAAACTGAAAAACTGAGCAGAAGACTAGTATGTAAGGTAATGTAGCACTAGGAACGGTCTCACTTCGGTGACATGCAGAGATTACTCTCTTACTAAACAGTAATGTCTAGATAGCTCCCATAGCAATTGCCAAATAAAAGAATTACAGCGTTTATGTTTACCCACAACTATTTGATTATAGCAAGAAACTGAGACAAATACTGAGTCAATGTGATTTCTTTTTGGTAGTTATGTTTACTTCAGAAGATAAGAAAGTCTTCATGAAAACAGGAGGAACCTGTATAAACGTATCCTCAGGCTGAAGTCAAACTGAAGACATTTCAAAATTGGTCTCAACTGCAACTATTTTTTAATAAGAAAAACTGAGATATCCCCAAGAGCAACACTCATAGCAAAACTTAAAACTAGTGTGTGCTAGTGAAATCTTGCATTAAAATAATTATCTTCACAAAACCTGTAATATAAAGTGGAATATCATAAAACCACTGCTTAAAAGCATATTTTTCTGGTCTACAAGCCTTGCAATGAGCTTGCTCGAATGAAGTCAATGAGCAAAGTTTACAAACTTCACAGAGTTTTAATGGTAATGACTAAGTTAACACAAATATGCATTGGTTGCGTAATGTTATAGTTAGAACTTAGGCCTCTCTAAGCTATCAGTTTCAGTGAAAGGCCTTTATCATAGTACAGGTTGTTTATCTGGCTCAGCTCCAGCTTTTGCAGTCAAAAGAATTTTCTTTTTCTAACGTTTTGTTTCTAACCTTTTTTTTCCCCTAAGCTTTGTTTCTAAACTCATTTTGTTTCTAACCTAATTTTACACAAACTTCTACTCAGGAGTTTTCTTTCAGTTCTTTTAAAGAAAGTGACAACTGTTCTGATGAGTATGCTACTACCTCACTAGCAAAATACATTTCTTAAAGAAAACAAAAATCCCTGAAAGCAGCTTAACAAGCATACCTTCACTTTTCCCATTCAGCAAAAGGGAAGCTGAGGTACAAGGATCTTGTCCAGGATCCAATCTCTTGCGCACTATGCTGTTTGACACGGTGTCTCCACTGAATTAGTTAAGATTTCAATGTGCAATTTAAATATATAGCTATTGAAAAATATTTCACCAGTAGGTATATAAGCAAAGTAACTTACCACAGGGCTAATATTAAATCACAGCAGTGATAAATGAAATCCAGTATCATCACCTTTCTACTGAGTAAATATGAAAACTTTCAGAATTTCTAACTAAAGGCATACACTCCTACAAATTGGATATTACTGCATCTGCTGACTTCCTTCTAAATCTACTTTGTAATAGCACTAAATTGGTATAACATAAGACCTGGCAGCCACAGGCCCAGTTTGTAAAAATCTTTATTTTAGCCTTCTGCAGAGAAAGCTTGAAACTCAGTTTATTTGTCATTCTTAGCATAATGAATTATATCTGCAGATAAAAAAAAGGATTACGTGTTTTTCTAAAACATTATGTAAGAGTCTGTGCTTGTTGACACAGAAAACTGATGGCTGCCCTTCTTAATTACTGAATATTCCAGACTTCATATCTCCAAACTCTCCTCACTATATTCCAACTCTGTTCCCCAATTTGCTGTTGATCATATGAAGTCCCACTAATCTTATCAATAATCCAAGTAAACTCAGAAATTGCCAACAGCCAAGCAAACTGCAGGTTTCTGGAAACGAGTCAAAATATGGAATATTAGAGGAATTTCAAAATGAAGCGTGTTTTAATAAAAAACATTAATAGCAGTGCCAAATGCTGTATCTCACTCACTCCATGTCAGGCCAGTTAGTTTTTGGATTGTGATCCAAACAAGAAATAAAACCAACTACATACAATATGCTGTTAGAAATACACAAACTGTAAAATTACTTGCTTTTCCTATTTTAACTACAGTATTCTTAGTAATTATATGTACTAGATTGTAAAAATTACTTGTTGGTTTGTTTTTTTTATTTTTTATTTTTCTTCCCTCTCATTTTGAGGTACTTTTAAACACTTCATCAGAAGGCCAACTAGCTGGTTTGGGAGTCGTGATATTGTAGAAGAATAAATTTAAGTGACCATCTCTTAATTTTGCTTACATACCTTAAGTGTTGGATCCAAAATAAATGAGTAAGAATGAAAATCAGACATGAGAGTGGACAACAGCAACATTCCTTTTCTTACAAGTTGCTGAAGTTTTATGGCAAATAAATTGTTTACCAGCAGAAGCTTCAAAATTACTTTGAATTAACATATGCTTTTGTCCAGTCTGATGAGGAAAATGTATCATAGACAGACTTGCTTTTACATCTGTAACAAAACATACCTGTCCCAGTCAAAAGTCCAGCACTCTTCTTTCGTGCATAAGCGCGTAAGTGGTTGGACAGGCTAACAGCACTTGTAAACGTCGTATTGCAATGCACACACGTTCTAAGCTTCACAGGCATACCTATCATTCAAAAGAAAACTATAATCCAGTTCTCTCTTCAAAAAATGAAATTCTCAAAGCGTTGTAAAAAGTTTTCTGCAATAAAGATGGTTTAAAATATATTCACTGCATTGACGCAATTGTTTAGTATATTAGAAGGATCCAAGTTAACCGTTATTAGTTTTCCATGTAGTGCTTTAAGCCAAACCATGTTATTTGAAAAAGAACAGAAAGGAGGCAACTTGAGCCCATTAGGCTACTCTGCATTTAATACCTAGTATCAAGTTCCTACAGAGCTCCACATTATGAAGGTCTAAATCCCAAAAAACAATCCTGCAATTTGAATAGCACAATTCTGTTGAGAAATTTCAGAGCTTGCAACATTTCCAGTAAAGAAAAATTAAAAAGTCTAGTTGACAAAGTGGTCATTAAAAGTGTTTTACCCATAAGACTGAAGAGCTCAATACTAAATTAGGCTGCTGTTGAAGGCTTGGAGAAAAAGGTGGTAAAACACACCACTGAACAGCTGTTAGACAAAACATCTTGTTCAGTGCATTTTCTGTTTATTACCTTAGATGCGCAATCGATAATGAAAGTTAATGATTTGAAGTTTTTTGCTAAAATCTTTGCGCTAAATAAATGATCAAAAAAGCAACATGCTATTTATCACAGGAAAACAGTGAAACAATACTGAACTCCTCACTTACCAGAGAAATAAACCATTATAGCTTATCTCCTGCTCAACTTCACCATGTTTCTACCTCCATTTTATGAAAGATGGATTGTTTTGGTCAACTAATATTTCAAGTTCTCTACTAATAAATTATTAGAAGAATAAATGAAAAAGCTAAAACTACTCAACTGGAAAGCCTCTGTTTGCAGGAAAGAAAGAATCCTATTCTCCAGCAGCCCACAGAAGACATGCTGTTTTGTCAGGCAAGTTACAGAAGAAGAACACCTGGTTGGTAAAAACCTTTTTTAAAAACTAAAACCAGAATTAGAAATATTTGCTTTTAGGAAAAACAGAAGAATTTCAACGTGATGTTAAATATTTTCTTAATAACTCAACTGGCACAGTGCATTAGTTGTCAAATTCTGTTACCTCAGCCGCAGATAATTATAGGGCTCTATTCATAATTGTTAGTACTATGCAAGCGTATGTTTATTTTTACCTGGTTGTTCACCACAACCAAACAGGCGCTACCTAGTATTCAGCAGTAAATATTAAACAGAAAGCAATACACAGTGTCAGGTTTTGCAAGCTATTCCTTTAGCATTGTTTTTCAAATCATTAAGCCTGTCAAAGATACACTCCCTTTATAAAGCAATCTCCTGTCTTAAAGGACAACCACAGATGTCCAGAAGACATTAAATGTAATTGTGTTCCACCCCTACTATGTCATTTTTAGAAAGCCACCTTTGTTAAGAAATTGATTCCCACCCATCTGTAGTACCCTAAAAGAACTTCTGAGCACACTGGATTGTTATTTTTATTTGTTTAAAGGAAGACAAGAATATAGGTGAAAAAGTACTAGGCACTGCCAGTGTTACTAACCTGCACTGAGCAATAACAAGAAAAGCAACAGAACCAAAAAAAGTCAGGGGTAGAAAAATAAGATCTTGCTCCTCAATCTAAAGAATCCTGAAGCATTATAAGGTGGTATCCAAACAAGAAGCGGGTAAATGCAAGCTCTACATACCCATTAAAAAGGATGTCTCAAGAATTCCTCAAGACTAGAAGTAACTCCTATGTGACAAGTAGGTTAAAAACATCACTCTAAAAACCTAACCCTATGAGTATACACAGTATCCAGGAAGCTGATTATAGAATTGTTTCATTAGTACAATTCTCAGTGGAGGGGCAATCTCTGTCCGTATTGGTCAAGGGCTGTGCATTAGAAACCTGCTGGCTACAACTGTATTCCAACAAAGCTTGAACCAGCACAGGTCTTCACTCAGGACAGGCAGGCCCTAAGCAAGCATCAGTTTCTCACAGCAGCCGCAATTTTGAAACAAAGAAGAATTAATCTATGTTGTAAGAGTATGTTTGCCTAAACCCATCAAAATTAGTTGACAATGAGTCACCAATTTGGAGTATTATGCATTTTATAATGGTATCAACAGTTCTGTTAGTTTAAGCAGCTACTGCTTTGCACAAACCTCAGAAGACTTAAATGAAGTAGTTCCCAAACCAGCTACTTTAATGCCCAGAAACAGGGTTACAAGCCCAAACATTTCAGAACTGTTAGTCTACCAAATATGCATGTACACTTCAACTTGTTATTGCAGGATGTGTCTTCTTCCTTACTGAGACTCATTTTGTGTCCACTTTGAATTTGTTTGCCCAGCCATACACAGAACAGGAACTATGTTCCATGCAAAAACCCCTCAGTGCTGCTGAGGGGTTTTTTCACTTTAGGAAAAACATGTCAGAAAAATTTGCTGTGCTACCTCTCGCAGTCAGCATCCTCTGGAAATGAAACAAGAATTAAACGAACCGAATCCCAAATAAAATACTCTGCACTTGTACATCTTCTGTGAATTAAAGGACTCTTTGGAAATGTTGTCAAGACAGCTAGAAACATCTTCTTACCTGACTGCATAGTCAAGTCCATTTTTTGTGGCTGATACATCAATGGACTGTCTTCATTTAATGGAAGAACACATTTCTGAACAAACCTCTTTCTTGCAGTTTGATTATGAATCTTTTGAGGAGAAATATCAGGATGTCTTTCTTCTCCTAACCTCTTATTTTTCAGGAGTTCTATCAGTGTAAGTGACTGATTTTTTTTTTCATCATGTAGTACTGCTTTTGTTTCATCACATTCATTTAGGAAACTCAGCCCTTCTTCCTCTGATGCAGACACAGATGTATCTTCAGTCTTTAGGCCATTATGGTATGCTTCAAGAGGTATAATGTTCTGAGATAAAAAGTCATCATTTGATGCAAATTTCTGAGCAACAAACGGTCTGGGAATAATGCGGCGACTGTTCAAAGCCTTTAGGATTTTTTCATACTTCTCTTCATTTTGCATCATCTCATTCAGAACACAGATTGGAGACTTGTGTGCGTCCCACTTGGTTTTACCAAGCCTCTTCAGGTGTCCTCGCACATGATTAGACAATCCAATTTTAGTATCAAACCAGCCTCCACAGAGCTGACATGTATGCTCAGAGGAAGTTTCAGATTTCTCAATCGCTACAAAGAAAATAATTATCATGGTTTTTGACAAGTATATACAGCTAAACATTACAATAGCAAATCACAAGAACAAGATGAGAGGCTTTAGAACAAGATAAAGCAAGTCTTGTTTAGTATTCAGTAAATCCCTTTGTCCCCTTCACTTTATACCCAAATTAAAAAAACTACAACTAACTAAAACCCCCCAAAACAACAGGAAAACAAAAAAAATCTTACCTTTTCTAACACGTTTAACAGGAGTTCCTGTTCCAGTTCTTTTAAAATGTTGCATTTTGTCACTTGTTGCTATCTGCTCTGGTGAAACAACATGACGGGCTTCATAGCTTAGTCCAGCTCTATGAAGATGTCCTCTGACATGATTGGACAATCCAACACCTGTTTCAAAGGTTGCTGGACAGTATGGGCAGGACTTCTTTTCAAGCGACAAATCAGTCCAATGGAAAACTGAATTATGCTTTGGCAATGCTGATCCCACATTTTCTAAATTCTGAGGATCATGCAAATCATGCAGGAAGTTACCACCCTCAGCATCTTCATAATACTCAAAATAAAAGCCATCATTCTGCTCATAACTAAGTGAAGATTTATCACCAGCTTCATGATCTTCCACTTTACCTTTGAATATGGGGAATAGGTTTACATGTTCCTGATTAATATCACTGTAAGATTCATCCTCCACAGACTGTGTAGTGTAATCACATAGTTCAACATTATCCCATGAACTTTCATCCTCCGTTTCATAGCTGTCTTTTTTTTCAGCAGAGTTAAGTTTCTGTAAAACAACAACAGTCATTTTATGCAGAAAATCTGGATAGCAATCCAAATCATCTCCTGTAACAGAGCCTTCCCTCTTGGATTCTTTAACCACTCTTTTAACAGCTACACGCCTATGATCTTTACAGCCTTCTGCCATTTTGCAATCAAGATTATTTGAATCCATGACAAAACAATTATTACAGGAACTACTTGATGAAGAAAATAAATGCAAAGAACTGACAGAGTTGGACTCTTCCTTTTTTAAATGCAAAGGATAAGAGTCACTATATTTTTTAATCATCCTGTAGTTTTCATATTTGTGTCTATATAAATTACCACTTGTTTTCACACTAGCTTTCTGCTTTGCTGCTTGATGAAAACATTTAGGTTTCTGCTCAATGCTATTTCTAATCAAAAAGGTCTTGTTTGTAGAATTTAGATTGCACACACTTACAGATGGCTGTGAAACGCTTTTCCGAGCCTTCTGTATCCTGTAGGGTCTCTTGTGAAGTTTTGCGAAGTTACTGGACTGTGAAGTAGAGCCAAATGATCTTTTTACATCCTGTTTTAAAACAGAGTTCTTTGGAAAAGTAGAAGATTGTTTGATCAACTGTTTTGTCCTGCTACCAAAACCTAAAGATTCTTCTATTATGCTGCCTTTCCTTTTTTCTAGTCTAAGATGGCTACCGAAGGGATCAATGCATGATGCTGGGTGCAAATATTCCATGTGTTTTTTTAAAATGCTTCTAGCTGAAGTAGTAAATGGACACATCTTACACATATATGTTGATGATTTTTTTGAGGATCCTAAATATGGATCTTTCAAGGATGCCTTTTTCTGTGTTTTCCTCTGGGACATGTCGCTACCGATAATTGAACATTTGACTACTGCTCCATGAGCTATCCCTCGATGGCATTCCAGTTCATTTTCTGTCACAGCCATGAAATTGCATTCCTCACAGCAATAATACCTTTTATCTTTTTCATGGGTCTTTGCATGCTGCACAAATGTTTTGGGACAATTGGTACCAAATACACACTGTGGGCACTGTAACCGTGCACTCCTACCCTCATCCTGAAGTTCTTTCAGCTCACGGATTTCTTCCATCAGTTTCTGCCTTCTTTCCTGGTGAATTATCATATGTTTAAGAAGTGAATTACGATCTCGAAATGTCCTTCCACATTCCCTACATGCATAGGGCCTGGGGACATTGAGATGTCGGAAATGACTGTTCCCATCTAAATGGTACATCATATGCCTATGCAGATGTTTCTTCTCCCTAAAATTCACATTGCACTTTGTACAGGGATAAAATGATGGTTCATCAGTACTGAAAGTAGGTGGCGATTCAGAATCATTCTGTTCACATTTATTTTTTAAAGTATTGGAAAGAAAAGTGCTAGTGTGAACAGGAGAAGTATCTTCTGCACAGTTACTAGTGGGACTATAAATGAGTTGCTGGATAGCATCAGCAGCTTCCAGCTCTTCATCTGTGGATTCAGGCTTTACTTTACTCAATGAGTATTTTTGTGGTTCTACTATTTGTAGCTCCTCATTCTGCTCTAAGAAGTCAACATTTAATAGTTTTGATTTACTGGGAATACAACTGGTATCACCAAAACAGTCTTCAGTATAGCGTGTTATTTTACTAACATCCATTTTCCTTTTTCGCTTTTTTTCTAAGCCCACTTTACAGTGAATGGGAGACTTCTCTATTGTTTCTTCATTTGTCATAAGAAACTGTATAAACTCTTTTTGTGGATCCCAGCTGGGATCACATCCCGATCTGAAACCACCTGTACCTGAGGAAATGCCTGTTAACGTATCAACACAGTCATCTTTTACTAGCAAATTTTTGTCATCCTCACAAACTTCTACTTGGCCTACTAAAGTGCTGTCTACACTATTTCCTACTGATTTCTGTGAATCACAACCAACTGAAGCAGAGGTAGGTAGATTTTTAATGGAATGAGTCAGGTTCTTAGCATGTGCTACATCAGGTAACAAAAATAAAACTTGGTGCTGATTTGATTTCTGTGTTGCGCTCTTTGTAGGCAGCTGAAGATCATGAACCACCGTCAGAGTTGAGCAGGAATCTGTGTGATGACCTACAGACTGTCCAGTGGTTAATGAAACACTGCCTTTATTCATAATGGAAGTCTTAGTTGAGGTGGAGTGTGAAACTGGTCCATTAACAGCAGTTCCTCTAGACAAGATAAAGTTTTCGCTAGAAACAGTAGGAGCACCAGTGTGTATAAATAGAGAACTCTGGCCTCCACTTAAGGCTTTTTCAGATCTGTCCCTTGATAGCTCCTCAGGCAGAGTCAACGTATTGTTCTTCTGAAATGATGTGTCGCTCTCTTGTGGTTTGGGAATGCCACCCTCTTCCTCAGATACAAAATTATCATCACATAGGATTTCTTCTTCTTCTTTAGCACCAGTGACTTCAGTATTTATCTCTAAATCATCCATATTGCTGGTCTGTCCATTAAGTACATTTATACTAAAAAACAAAGAATAAAAGAATCAGGCAATCACAGAAATAAATAATGGCTATTTCAGTTCACAGTTTTCTTCAGGATCACCCTTCTTCACACTGTAATCTAAAAATGTTTTGTACTTGTTAAAAATGTATTTTTAAATTTAAGATATTAAAGACATATTTAAAATTAATCAACGAGGCAATTTAAAAAATTATACTTTTTTGCTATGCTATATTAATAACCATACAGCGAACTAGTCACTGCCCAGTATCCCAGTTCAAAAAAGCCTGAACGCCTACACACAAGCCAGATGGGGCAAATGGGATTGACAAAAACTGAAAATACATTCTACATGTACATTAACATAAACACAGTGTTTATCTTTAGTTGTTTTCTAGAAGTAAAAGAAGTTAGGAGTGAAGGCTACCCAGACATCTGCTAAATCATTTCAGTGATTAAAAAAAAACCAAACAAACAAACAAAAAAAAACAAAACAAACCCATACTTCCTTTTAACACCTAGGAAAATAAAATAATCTTTATGTATGTCAAGGTAGCACTTTTTCAGAGTGCTTGTATATAGCTGACCTGATGCTACACAGAAGCCTGAAGAATTGTATACTTTCGTATTAAAGGAGAAAACACAGCTAGGCTGATTTTGAATATCTGATTACTGACAGAGACATAGCAAAGAATCAAACTTACTGAATAAATTAAATGTCTTCCCATTCCCTTCTTACAAAAGGACTTTCCTTGCTTTAAAATAAATAAATCAGATCCTGTTTATGTTTAAGGCCATTTTAAATGCTAAGCAAATAAAATAGCATCTTTTCAAATGACAGAAAACCTCACAATTAGAAAGAAACATTTAATTAGGATTTAGCCACCAGAGGAAATCACCATGTTGAATCCAGAGCTTGACAATAATAGCTCCTACCGGTAGAGAGAACTATTACATATGAATTCCTTCTGGGAGGCCTTGTGTACACAAATGCATCCTTCAATAACTGACTTTCATTCATACACCAAATCGTGTAGCCAGTGCCTAGTGAGCACAAAGGATTCGCCTACAAATGAAAATCAGTGTGTAATAAGCAGGAGTGTGAACTTAAGTCTACTCTGGCATTTACCTCTTATTTGGGTCCTCAGAACACAGTAAGCACAAGGCATTAAAACACCCGTCTAGGAGCTGGAAACATTTATCTGTATTTTACAGAAATCACATATTTCACCCTTGAATAGTACTATTCACTTTGATCTTTTGGGGGATTTGATTCCTGCCAACACATACTTAGTTTCAGTTACTAATTAACATTTTGTGTAGGACTCAGTTAAAAGGAGTCATTACCTAGACTCTTTGAATTAAGATGTTATAACTCACAGCTAATATCCATGACTTCCTGCATTGGTCCTTCATCGAAATCAAGGAAGACCACTCTTGACATCCTTTTTTCCTAAGGAGAGAACACAACCTGGTGAAATGAGACCACTTTCATATTTATGTGTCACACTTGAGTCCAGCATTTCTATTAGTTTTTCAATTCACCATTAAGATTGCTATCCACAGAATTCAAAGCTAGCTATGGCCTCATGGAAATTGTTATTTTGCTTCTTTTGTTTCAAACTGGTAAAAGGACAAAACAAATATTTTAACCTCCTTTAAGTTTGTAAAAAACAAACCTTAAGTTAATATCACTTCTTTACTATTTTGAAGATAAAAGTAACTATATTTGGAATAGAATTATAACGAAAAAATTTTGCCATTAAAATTGCTTCCTTTTCTGTTCAGTTATTGACCTAGACAATTTAGAAGTACAGCAACAGTCGTGTCAGACGTATAATAAATGCTTATGTGTATCAAATGTTTTATTGTATTACTTATCTATATCATACCTTTATGCAAATGTTCTACTAGACACCCCAGTTTCTCTTCCCATTTCTTATGTTTTTGCATTTCTTTGCTGTTCTGAGATGGGTCATGTTCCACCATAATAAAGACTTCCAATAAGATCACATTCAAAGCTATCACCCTAAAATGGTGATAATGCACCACCCAGCAGGAGTCTTTACATCACATACAGAAGTTAGAAATGGGCAGCATAAACACGCACTAAGAATCAGTAATGCAAAAGTCAATTAAAAGATGTGAAATCTCCAAGGATGCACAACAGCTGAAACATTTTTTCAACTGAATAGTGTAAGGTTCATATAGTATCAGGCAGCAGAGCATAAAACATTCACAGAAAGTTTAGAAGAAATTTAGTAAGCCAGTTTTGCCTGAAAGATGTGCGGTTTTGGTTTATTACTGCAGAGGTAGACAAACGTATGCTTAGTCAATTTGAGAGCCTATATTAGCTTTTCTCAACAGGAAGCAGTGTTGCTAACAAAGTGGTAAATTCAGTGTTAATGAGTGGCTTCACTGTTACCACCTCTGAGGTAAAACCTTCCATGTTCCAAGTTCCACCCATCTGTTCTGGTGTGAGGGGTTCAGAGGAAGAACAGACGCTTCCCATTTAAAGCACCTTCATTGGTACCCCCTGAACAGCGGGGAGGCAAACTGAGAATGTTGTGCCTGCTTGGAGATTGCAATCCTTATTACCAGAATGGCCCCTGAAAACTTTTGACAGGTTTATGTGATGAATACAAACCCATGTTGCTCTACATACAAAACCATACTGCTGCTAAATATTAGTGTTAAAGCTCAAGTTAAAAAGGTGGCTAGGGTACCATACGATCACCCTTAAACTGAGACTTTCTTCAGAGTTATCATGAGCAGTATCTAAAAATATTATGCTGTGCAAACTTGTAAGAGACTCCTTTCCATATTGTGTACTTATGAAGATTGTGAGCTATTCCATATGGATCTGATTAAAAGTCTTCTATGGTAATACAGCTGTCCCTACAGATTTCTGTCTTTGAATCAAGTCTGAAATGCTTACTGTATCAATAATACTGCTGTTACTTTTTAATATTTTTCTGCTAATTATCACATTTTTTTCCAGCTATCAGGGTGGTACACTTCACTATTTTATGTGCTGGACAACAAGATGAAATTTAGCACTTTTAACAGTGTGGCATTAAAGAAAACATATAAAGTATCTTTTTAAATTACAGTAATTTTGAGTCTTGTGATGACACTGAGCCAAGCTGCAATACTTCATTTACATTATCTACTTCATATGTAGAAATTTATGCAGTAACAATGATAGGTGTAACTAGACACATGCAGGAAGACATTCCACCTAATGCCATTATTATTGAGGAAATGTTATCATCTAACTTGTACCATTGAAAATGTGCAACACCCAAACTGAAACACTACCTAATCTGAACACTCTAGGGGAAAAAACCCAAACAAACAAAAAAACAAACAGAAAAAACAATCATTGTGACAACTAAGATATAACCAAGGCTATGCAATATTTTTTGCATGTTTCGGTCACAGTTTTAAAATTATCTTCTCTATACCATATCAGAAATAAAAAATTACTAGTTCTGTCAAAATATATAGTAATTAATCCTCACTTAGTATATTGAAAAATTAAACATCAAGATTAATCTTTAATTTTGTTGCAAACAGTGCTTGTTATATCCTCTACTGGGGCAAGCACTATACAGTTGAGGTAATTTTTATTTAAGCACATAGTGCTAAATATCTAAGAGATACAAGTGTAAAAATGTCAATGCTCAAAAAAGCCAACACAAGCGTACACAATCCCAGGCTCTTACCTTTGAAACACACTTATTTAACAGGCTAGGCCAAATTAAATTCAATTATTTCAGTTAAGCCTAGAATGACTGTAGTGCAGTCAACTTTTATTCCTGATTTATATGATATGCTATTTATTATATAGAAATCATTTAATATTCAAAAGTAGAAAGTTTCATTATTTAGCTAACTAAGCTACATTTCACCCCTGTTTAACTACTTTTAAATTTACATAGTTTTAAATATTGGTTTTCTTCATATAATATCAGTTTTAAAAATAATGAGTTCTGCAGATATGACTGCCTGTGGCCAGATAGTCTAAGCATTAAAAAGGTGTAAGGTCAGATCTATCTTCAAACTGACAGATCATAATTTAAATGCCTTAAACTAATCTTATTGTCTCAAAAATCTTGAACATCAGTATTTTTGCAAACTATCAGCACTTGCTGTAACACCCTTACTAGACTACATCTTGAGGTTACTACAGAAGAAATGAGGTGATAATTGCATATTAACATAATTATTCGGTAATCCCTTTGAGCAAGCTTCCTAGGTCACTCAGTAATTCAGATTAGACGCAACCTTCCTGTCATCTGATCTATGATGTCCACTTTCTGTTCATTAATAATTCTTTTTGATAAGAATGTACTTGATTCCATTGTTTTATGTACATTATTAATTGTATTTATTACCAGTAGGTTTATGACATTTCCGAGTGCTTATTTCATAAGGACAACCTTCGCTATGTAATAGGGTCACACACCAAATTGACAGTATTGCCTTCATGCAGTGTTAGTTCTTAGTAAATTAGCTTACACTCTAGTGCTAAGCATACTATACTGTTGCCTACTAGCAGTTGTAGTTAGAGATTTGCCAGTTTCCATTATAAAACCCATGCTATTTTACAAGGATTTACAATATATCTGAAAGCACAATGGAGCTGAAAAATTAAGACGATTTGGTTGAGTTTGTGAAAAGCATAAAGTGCTTCTATGTGTTTTGATATCAAGTTTCTCATTAAATTCATAAATACAAGCCAATGAGCTAAAAGCACAGAGCGACTACTAAGTGTCACAAGAATTCAGAAGCCATCCCCCAATTGGATTGAATTTAATCAGCCTAGTTAAAGTAACTGAAGAAATACAGTCTTTTGGCAGTGGTGTAATGAAGGCAAAAATATACTTGTCCTGTGCTAAGTAACTCCTCATAAGTCAAGTTCCTTAAGCAGGTATGTGAATAATCAGGACATTCAAGGGATTATTCAAATATTCAAGAGATAAAAAAGTCGTATCAGGTTTGCACTGTTCTCATTTAGATTTTTCTTCAGGACTTTGTTATATAAATAGAGAAAACTAACAAAACCTAGCATTTTATCCACAAGCATTCCTGTAATGAAGCTTTCTCAAATGACAGATTATATTAAAGATGATGAAATCAAAGTCACAGATTTTTAGGCAGCAAACAGCATACCAAACAGAGCTTAAGTACATCATGGCACAGGACTAAAGAGGCGTCTCCTTCCATTTTGACCCATTACACAGTCTACTCCTTTAACAACTTAATCATAGCAAACATCAAGCACAGAGCTTCCATCAAAAGTGAAATGTTTAAGAACCCTTGGAAAATGAAGGTTTGTACAGAGTAATAGAGGAACTAGTAGTGTATTAGTATAAACTAGTCACATCTTGAATAAAAAAAATCAAGTTAGTTGGAGGATAGCTGCACAAAATTTTTGCCTCTTCCATACCGTAATGCACACAGTTCACACCTCCTGAGTTTTGGGTGCTATCTAGCAATACAAATACACAAAGTTAATACAGATATTTTGATCATTAGCAGAATACCTATTAGTTGCTTTCAGATTTATCTCTTCTTAAAAATCTATCCAGATCCACCTTTCAGACGGAACTAGAACCACAACCACAGGATGAGTCAGTGACTCACCTTGCCTTCCTCCAGCTTCTATCTGTGGTTTTAAATTAAGTTGTTGAAAAGAGGTTCCCTTCTGCATGGCAGAGACACTATTTGTAGACTGCCTTACTTAGCTTTGAAAGCTACAAATTCACCTGAACATTTCTGGATTTTTTTTTAAGCTTCTGTAGTGAAGAGACAGCTTGTTTAATATGCACAACATCATGAATACTTCCCTCCTACACTTACTTTGCATACAAGTATACGGTTATTAATTTAGCTAGAGTCTAAGGAGCTCCACTGAAAACTACTTATCTTCAATTCAGATCCATAACTGTTCACTGGAAAACACAAACATTGGAAAACTCCCATATCTAATTAGATTCCCATAATAGAAGTTATTTTTAAAGCAGCAAGCAAAATTACTGATACAACACTACAAATTTTTATTATGCCTAAATAAAGAAATACAAAGTCATTGCCACCCACAGTATAACCTTTTGTTATACTGTTGAAAGATTCACTGAGTTGTCTTATCTCTGTGAAAAAAGTTCACCAAAGAGAAACTCTGAATTATAGAGGAGGAGTCATCGCACAAAAGCAGCCCATCTTTTCAGTAAGATTATACTCGGCAACATCAAACCTGACTCACACTTTTCAGAAAGTTTATTTACCCAAAACTTTGTTTCTAATGGCACAATTTTTTCACAACTGTGTATCAGGTAGTAAGGAAAAGAAACGTTTCCTTGAAATGTCAAAATTTCACAAAATTGATTTCTAGTCTAAAATAATTAAGAGTGATTATTTTAACATCTCAGATGCGAAAGGAAACAG